TAGAATGGGGTCGCACATTTTTGGATTTTAGGGGTAAGACAGTTCTTTATAATTACGGGTAGCAAACGCACCAGAATGTTTGTACTGTAGGTGAAACGTAAAGCAGTGGCGGATCCAGGGGAGGGGCCCGGGGAGGTCTATGACTGGCCACAGAATAGACTATAATGGCGTAGGGGCCCTGAGAGGCCAGCGGCAAATACCCAGCAAAAATTAACCAAAGTACCCCCCCCCCGGTAGTCGAGCAATGATGGCAAAGAAATGTACCAAAAGGCGTGATGCCCATTTTTAGGTTATTTACCATATTGCACAAACAATACGTTTCTATAAATCTTGTTTCTCTAAAAAGGAGTGCGCTCTGTCTTGAAAAGGTGAATGTCTTGTTTGATAAGGTTCTGGATTACAAACTGTATGGAGTCTTGTTTTTCTTCCAAGAAGTTTTTAATCCTTTCAATTGAATGTTAAACCTATTTAGGATTTAACCAGGATAATCCAGGGCCAAGCACCACCTCTAGTGCACAGGAAGCAAGTTCTATCAAGTCCACCAAATCTCAAGAAAAAAATCAAGACATTTGCAGAGTATAAGGCAGCTAAAGGCAAGCAGTGGTTTTCTAAAGTCAAAGGTGGGAAGGCTAAAAGTAGAAAGACCTCGACGGCAGACCAGGAAGTGCTCATCTATATTGGTTTGCTCGAGTGGAATTAAAAAGAAAGGGTTCTCAAACCAAAGAGGAGAAAAAAGGTGGCCCTGCGAATTTTAAATTCTGCAAAATCTTCACTGGTTCGCCAAAACGCAGAAGAGAAATGGAAGGAATTTTATAGTAACTTCTATGACGAGAACCAGACCTATCTACTTCTTTATGAAGATGGACAGAAAGTTCTTTTTTTGCCTGGGACTAGTGAACTGTTTACTTTAAAGCGATACCAGGAGGAACTGGGTAAAGATTATAATAGAATTTACCTATATCTGCGCACAAATGAAGACTACAACAATACTGTCATGAGTGGTGATGACAGTGAGGATATCTCGTTTGCCTAAATATTCCAATCTTCTTGATGACAGTGAGGATGACAGCATGTCTCATTTACCTAAATGTTCCAAGCTTGTTGATGACAATGAGGGTGACACTATATCTCGTTTACCTAAATGTTCCAAGCTTGAGAGTGTCCTAGTCGTTACTATGCCTGAAGAACAAATTAAACTGGATGAAGAGTTTGCAAGACAATTAGATAAAAGCAGATGTAGAAGTTGAGGTAGTTGTTGAAAACAGTGATAATCTACAAGTACAATCAGGTGATGGGGAAAGTGCTGAAAAACGTACCCAAGAAACCCTTACTGACCATGTCGGTGTTGTTAAGGAACTCAGCAAAAGTGTTGATGACAGGTCAGTTCTTTATTTTGGTGCACAGGGCTTCCAAATTTCACAAGATGCTTGAATCTGTGGCGTCGTGAATCAATGAGAACCATGCCAGACAAAGTTTTTAGAGTTCACTTCACAGGTGAAGATGGAATAGACAGTGGTGCCATGGCTAAAGAGGTCCTTGCAAAACCTACAGCAGACATGGGAAATATTATGTTTCCCCGTGGCAGTCCTGTGGATTCAACCTACAGTGTACAGAAGGGATATTTCCAGTCTTGTGGAGAAATTGCTGCTGTAAGCCTGGCTCAAGGAGGTCCATCACCTTGTGTCTTACAGGGATGTGTTTATGAAAGTATGGTCAACCCAGAAACTGACTTTAAGGGCTTGAATGTAGAGCACATTACAGCAGAGGAGAAGACGATGCTCGAAAATATCCAACATGACTTGGATAACCATCGTGACACAATTGTAGATCATGGTTAGACTGGTGTTAGGGACCGTTCATTTTTTACGAGGTAAGGGGGGCTGGTGAAATTGGGA